TACTAGTGTGTTCTTCTAATGCAGCCCTCCTAAATACAAATATCAAAATTAACCTCTGCCTGACATGAAGATAGATGCAAAATTTGTCTTCAAAATTTTACCAAAATAAATATGGTATCTGCCACTTCTTTGTATTTACAGTTTTCACTCTTGTTCGATTCACAAAATTCGGCCATGCCATTTAGTTTTTAGGATATAATGACAAAACCTGTTTATTATCTTGTAACTTAAAAAAAAAACGAACGTAACGTGTGTGTAATGTTTCAACGAGCTGGAGAAGAATAATAGTTTCAACACAAATATTTTCTGTCCGTAAATGAAGTAAATTTACTAACGCCACTGGTTCTCTTTTTCAGATCATGCGGACATCATATTCATACCTGACGCTGTTGAGACAGGTTTACGACGAGGATTAAGTGGAGTCCTCAGGCTGAGATGGCATCCTCAAAATTAGAAAAGCGATTTAATTTGACAAGTGGCTGTAATTTGTCAATTAGTAGATAGCTTTCAATCAATTATTCTCCGTTATTCTGACACGTATTTTAGATACAGCCTGTAGTCGTAGACTATGTGTGATTTTACGTTTTCAAGACCATAGAATTATTCAGTAAATGGGGCATTTTTTATGTATGAAGCAATACAAAGCTAAATTTTATCTAAAACTGAAGCTACCCCTTTTGTGCACTGGACAACTAAGTTTTGGTACAAAAAAATCTTACGTAAATAAGGTAATAGCATAATTCTGACACAGTAAATTCTGATGAAAACGGAATGTCAAGAGATCTGAATAACGTTTCCATGTAGCACTGAGCTTTTGTATACAAACACTTCACAGTGCATTTATGATCGAAACTGTAATACTATTGGGTCAATATCTTACTGCACTTCGGATCACTATTTTGCCATAACTGACTGCCCTTGAAATTTTGATAGATTCTTAACTATCAAAGAAATTCCCCACATTTTATGGAACATCAAGACCTATTATTATGTTTACAGTAAGCTCTCAATAGACCTTAACTTCAGACACACGAATAAAATTTTTCGAAATTTTAAGTAAAATCAGCGTGAAGGGATGTCTCAGTGATAGAATACAGGTGTTGCTGTTGGTTTGTCATAAGTAGTTACCTGGTGTAAAAGTGTAAGATTTTATTCCAGCAAGAGGAATGTACATATTTGAAGAAGAAAGAATGGAAAATGCTGTTTGTTAGGACTTAACAGTAGCGCCGCTTCTGACGGAGCGGACCGAAAAGGAGTTCGCCGAAGCATAATTCACTGAAAGCAGTTAACTGCTGACTGGTTGTGAGCCCCTGGAATCAAGCCTGAGTACCACTCCTGTCAGTGATTCTAGCACGAGGACCACCGTGAGGTCAAGTTGGTGTGGAGGGTTGGATTGCAACAGTCGATACCTCCTCAGCAGGGCCGAAAGGATTGCCTTCATTTCAAGCATTGCGAACTTCAGGCCTGCAACGTAAAATGAAGTTGTAAGGGAATTGGCTGGTAAGGAAAATTACTTTTCGTCTACCGTAGGTCCTACCGAGTTTGATAGAAGTCTGTTAGGTATTTTAAACAATACTACGTGTGGACTGACGCGACATTTTCTGTCCAGGCATCTAACGTAGGAAATTTATTTATGTCCTTGCCCTAATTAAAACATTAAGTGAACTCCTACTTCAAAATCCCGTGTCATCAAAAACTGAACGAAATATTGTAACTTATATATGGTCAAATAAAGCTGTCGGGGAGAAATGTAGCTCCTACTCGGTTTAGACATCAGGAGGTGAGTGGTCAGCATCACGCCCCGTCCGTACTTTACCCCGCAGAAGGAACCTTGATATCAATGGATACGAGGCTGGATGACCTCAAATTTTTTGGACACGAAGGCTAGAGGAAAAATCCTTTGTCGATGATCAGACCCTGGCCGTCCAGTCCGTAGTCTGACAGAAAACTGACTGAACTATACACCATCTCATAGATAAACAAATAAATCCTGCAGGGTTTTCAGCTTTTAACCATACAATGCACCACATACCTAAACAGTTTCTCGGGCCAGCGCTAAATGGTATGTAGCAGTAAGGATGTCTTCCCAGGCAGTTTTCCGGCAAAAATCGATCTGGATCGAATTTTTCCGGCTCCGGAAAATATTCCGGGTTCCGGTGTAACATGTAAGGATTGAAACCGACGTTGCAGCCGGCAGGAAGTACATAATCACCTGAAAGATGGAACGGTATCTTACGTTATTTATTTAGCCGATAATCTCACAGCGTTATGTAAACACTGAAATGTATTTGTACTTTTAAATTTTTACTTTTCGGGCGATTCAATTTGTGTGGATGACGTGCACAGGCATGCAACATCCAGAGAGGAGATGAGGAATTTGTACAAAACTTAAGCTGGGAAAGGAGGGAAGATATCGCTGGAAAATCCGAGGCATAGATGGGAGGATATTAGAATGTTTCTTAAAGAAATAGAGTGGGAGAATGTGGACTTTATTAATCTGGACAAGTGACCGGTTCTTGTAAACACTGCAATACAACTACTTCGTAAAAGACAGGGAATTACACCAACTATGAACTTATTAACAGGGTCTATGCTCCATGGAATTTTTTTACAACAGGTTGCTTTATGAATGATGGATAGGGAGAGATATGGAACAAAATTGTCGTGACCTTGAAGATATTGTATCTTATTGTCTACAAGAACAGAGGGAAATCACGAAAATCTCCCAAATGTATAAGTCTGTCGTGTTGCCTGAACTGTAACAGTTAACACATACCCATGGGCAAGTCTTCGGTTACAAATCGTCCGAAGACAGGTACACTTGGGAACAGCCTCAGCGTCTCCTTGATCACCTGCTCCAGATACTTCATTTCCTGGAGGTCGCGTAAGGTCGCGTCGCGATTCGAGTCACCAAATATCTCTCTTAACTCCGACACTACTTTTTCCTTAATCGACAGAAAGACATGTAAGATATTAAATCAAGTTGAATTATTGCAGATCTGGCCACTAGTCAACTGTGAACTCGAATGAAATGGGAATAGCCGTTTCAGTATTGTTGTTGTTTTTATTATTATTATTATTATTCCATTTATTCACCACTTTATAGGGTATTTATTTCTATGTACCAATCTTCTCGTAGGCGTACAGTTTTTAGTCCAAATACATCTTGATTTAACAGTATAAGACCGCAAATTTTGAGTGAGTATTTGCGTAAAAATAATGTAATCATTAAAAAATATGCAAAAATTTTACTGGAACATTCAAATATAATCTTCGCATCAACGCTAGAACCTTACTATACCAAGTTGTCTAGTACCCAGTACGGAAAACCTAGCAAAGTGTAGGTCTCCTTTCTGCCTGGGAACTGTTTCAAAAGTATCGGAAAAGTCATGAGCATTAACTTACGTTTCTCTTCAGAGAATTCAGATATTTTGGTGCCTTTGCCTAATAGACATCTGGTACAAATATATGGGAAGACAAATAAAAGTAATATGCGGACAAATACGACGTAAATGATTGTGACTGGAAGTATGACGCCATCTGTACGCTTACATCGTTTCCGGGTTGGGTCTCAGAAAGTTAATGCCCTTGATATCTTTGCACAGAGGGCATAGTGATTTCATCATCCTTATGCATCCATGATTTGTAAAACTTGCACGTCCGTCCCATGTAATGACGCTCTCTGCGAAACTCTTTCACTATTTCCGTAGTCTGAGCTTCCTTGTATGATGTTATAAATTTGGATACACCTGTTCATTTATTGTACTTTGTGTTCTGTGAAGTTTATGAACATTGGATCACGTAACCGACGACTCTGTATGTGGTATAGTGCGCTGTACAGTTCTTCCTTTCGCTCGCTGCAAGTGTTATTCATTTCGACGTTTTTGTAATTTGTGATTCATTACTCACCATTTATGTGGACTGCATCTACAAATGACATTTAAAACCCTTGACAATGAAAAGTGTCTGTATTAAGTGTACGTAAACTTATTGTTTCTAAGCAGTGCAATTAACGTTTGTAAATGTTCACCTTGAAATTTATTTATGGCTATTAGTAAAATTGGTGTTTTGTCATTTGTGACTGGGGCATTCGTACTCTGTGAACGAGCAAAAAGAAAAATTCTACCCACCCGTATGAATTCATGGCGTGCTGTTTGATTAAGTGTGAGAGACCTTTACCTGTACTTTTGATCGGATACTTAACAGTAAGTGAATTAATTGATAGTTCACTTGGTTGGTTAGTCCGTTATTTAGAGCTGAATGGATATTTGGGTATCGGGTTTATTTTTCAGTTAAATGTTTTCTCTTATCTCTGTGTCACCCGTTACCTTTCAAGCAAGTGAGAAGCAAATGGCTACGAGTTTTCCGTTACCTGAACGTCTGGATTTTCCGCAAGGCACCAGCAGCTGAAGCTGAGAGCAGACGTTGTTGTGTCGTGGCCCTGTATAACATTAAATTTGTATCATTCAACATTATTAATCTGTGAAGAACACGGACAGACTAGTGTTATAGATTCTTATTTTCATATTTTTCTGAACATTTGGAATCTTAACTCGTTGATTAAACCTGTACGTTTGACAAATTCTGAGAGATTTGAAACATGTTTTCGTTTTCATATAATAATGGATATTTAATATATATGAAGGCAGTCCTACTGGTTCTGTTGTTTAGCCGTTGTATTCGTCCTATAAATTCCTAAGTTTTCATTTCTTCTTTGATTTTTTTCCTTACATAATTTATACATTATTCAAAATAATAATAATAAGTTTTTGTAAGTATTTACGATACTTGTTTTGCTCAAAATATTTTCATCTGTACAGATTTGGTGCAGCCAAATTTCCAAATTTATAAACTATACGAATCATGTATCGATAATTATAAGCTGTAATAGCTCAGCAGTAGGTTACCATATTCCACACATTCAGTAATTGGCTTCACGATTGTGTGGTTTACATTTCTGCTTCGTATTCTACAGTTTCCAGGTTAAAATCTCGGCCCGGAGACCGGATATCGGGACTGGCATTTTCCGTTGATTTTCTCAGTCTTTCCGGGTAAATGTACAGATAGTACGTTAAACTGAGCGACAGTCGCATCTGTTCATGTCTTGTCAGATTCCGAGATCGTTAATTATCCACCATTCCACTCCGCATAGGTGTACTCTAAGGAAATTTAAGGCGTCGTTAAATAATCTACAAATCAATCATGTGTTTAGTCAGTCATTGCAACCAAGTTGCCAATATTTAGTTTGATCGTTGTGCTGTTAGTTTCTTTTTTCAACAGTTAATAAAAGACAGCCTTAACGTAATTTTTATTTTACCAACTGCAGTAGATTAGCGCCATATAAATTTTCAGGACATAAACAGCTTTGGCTCAGGTGTTACTAAAGTGATGATGGGAGACACGGAATGTGCAAATGCAGGATAGCATACAATTTCATGACATCTGCAATTTATATAACATCGTTAGACCAGCTCACCGCCAACATAATGGTGTCTACTTCTTCCTGCAGCTCTTGGTCCGTTAGAGTAGCGCCATCCCTTACCGCCTGAATCATCAGGTCAAGGAACGCGTATTTCTGCTTTGCCCCTGAAATTAGAACACACGATCACCAGCCTGGCAAATAGTAGTTTTGTAAACGCGGGAATGAACTTATGATTTTCATAAGAGGCGCGGATTTTTTTAGTTAAAATTTACTACCAGCCTCTCAAAAAGGACTCTCCTTCACGGAGTTAGGTGCTTAGTTGCCGAAACGTCAAAATCTGTACACTTCAGTGAGGTCTGTATTTTACGAGTATATCATATGCTGTTTGAACGAAAAGAACTTTTGTAGATAAAATCTATAAACTTAAAATTATTCATTGTCAGGACTTTTTCCATCGTCTGTTCTTTAAAATCACGACGTTTCGGAGGCTGATTCTGTCTCCGTCTTCAGGTGAGAGTGACAGAGACTAGCTCTATCTAAGGGACCCAACAGAGTAGGTTCCTCTCACATGAAGACGGAGACAGAACCAGCCTTCGAAACGTCGTGGTTTTAAAGAACAGACGATGAAAAAAGTCCTGACAATGAATAATTTTAAGTGTAAACTATCGTCGTCAAAACCCTTTAGAATTGAAAATCTATAAAGTTTGTTTAAGCCAACGAATTCTCTGTTAGACTTTTCTGGAGATGTAGGTCAATCAGATACCAATGTCGTGCAGATCAGTTTCTTGTTCCCCCGTCTCGCTGTTGAGTATCTGTTCCTTCCGGCTCTTGATAACTTTCTTGGTCATTCCGTGCAGAACCGTGAGGCACTTCTTCTGCATGCGGCCCAGAGACGAGAGGGCGAAGATCGAATCTAGATGCAGCCATGGCATGAATGCCCGACGGAACATGGCGTCCCCCAGACTGCAAGAACCAGCGATTGTCACTGGAGTGACTGGGAAGAACTTTATTCTAATCGGAGTCGACTACATTAAAACATCGATCGCAAGTTTTTCTCGATGCTTTTCTAGTGATTAAAACAGGCCTATTCTAAATAATCATCGTGAAATAATTCATGCAGGTCTACCCGTTTTCCATAATTCTGTTTCTTACATCTGCACACTGTTCACATAGTCCGAGGAGCTGTCCAGCTGAGCGTTGATTTTCACGCCCATTGCAGATTCTGCAACGAAACAAGTTAGACAGCATCACGCATTGAGGCACAGTGCATATTTAATTTCCATAATTTAACGAAACTATGCGTGTCTGTTTATATATTCACCCTTATTTATTTTTATTAATTTATAAGTCGTGATAGTTATAAAAAATTGATGATTATGAGCGGAAGGGTTGTGTTTGGATTTTCGGCAGGATCAGGGATTTTACTCTCCCCCATATTATTCTGAGAGATTCTGAGGCCACTCAGACTTCTGTTCTGTGAGTTTCGGGAACTCTTTCTCCGGTATAAATCTGACCACCCATCTGAACCTGACGCCGACATCTAGAATCTGTAGAGTTTTAATTTTACCGTCAGCAAGAAAGACGATATCATGATAAACAGATATAAAATGAATCATATAAGAATGTAGTAACGTTCAAATATTTGTGAAAAACAGTAACAAATTTAAAAAATACAATACGTGGATAGATTACTGTCATTCAGCAGAGAATCTGTCGTCTTCCCGTCTGTCTGAAACGTAAAGATTAAATTGAGCAAAATCTTAAGTTCATACCCCTATTTGGCTGTGGAACTTGGTCAGTCATAGTAGAAAAAAAGCCACAAATTCAATGTAAGAGAATCAGGGCTTGAATCGAACCGAACCGTAAACCATAAACCGAACTGCATAATTCTGAACGGAGAATTTAAAATAAATTGTCTAAACCATCAACCTGAACGAACAATTTCTTAAGAATCAGTTCAAATCTTTAATATTTTTGACATGAAAAATCAGATATTTCCTGGACCTGTTTCACCTGCAAGTATTCCAAAAACACAGATAAACGAAATCCAATTTGTAAAACACACTCTCTTTCGGTTTGGCATTTGCAACTTTACGTGTACATTATCAGTAACAGTTCTCTTGCTATGCGAAAAGTTACTTTCTATTGGTAATGGTTTGAAAGTGAGCTGTTGAAAGGAAGCTGTAATTTGTTGGCCAGGCCGGAAGTACGATAAACTAATGCAAGAAAATCAACTGTTTTGTGAGCTGTTAACTGTCTCTGCAGAGTGGATGGATGAATCATTATCGTGACTACAGAGTGGTTATAGTACTGTGCTGGACTGCAGAAATTTTCTGTGGTAGAGTACCAGTAAATTAAATATTTTTTTGTAAATTGTAATCACATAATTTAGCAATTTAAAGACAATTTTGAAACAGTTTTATAATTTAATATGATGGTCCTATTACGATTTAGCAATAAAGAACCCAGGATTAATTGGTTCGTTTGGATTCGCAACGATTTGTTCTTCATTCGGTACAGTTATGCATATCATAAGACCGCCTGACGATCCGTCTGTCCACCCATGGCCTAATGCTAGACCCTAAGCATTAGTATTTCTGGTAGAGGCTACACGATTCCTCCATCTGTGGAGATCTACAGTTAGTTTAAATTATTAATGGATCCTACTTATAAACGTGTTAGTTGACGCTAAGGCTGGAATACGACTGTGTTGTCACAAGGGAATAAAAACAAGGACAATAAACCGAATTTAACATTCTTGCTTCGTATTTCGAGACCGGCTCTTCTGACTGAGGTTTTTGTACTTTTCCTCAACCAATTCAGGTAATGACAAAATAGCAGTACAGGGCCATTGGTTCAATTCCAAGACACAGCTATATCCCAAGTGGCAATAAATGTTATTATTTATTACATAATTTCCCCAGAGCTTATACTTTTATGCCAGTTTTGCGAATTATCATGTGTGGAAGGAAATTCTCACCTGAAACTGCATGTTGCAATCAAATTAAAACACGTCACTGTCCCGAAATCATCCTCAGAACCTATGTCTTACCACCGACATAAAAATGGACAAAATGAATAAGAAGAATATCCAGCTTTAACTAACTGTAATTTTGTTGTTGTAGCAGTTGCTCACCACAAATGACGTCTAGCGTGACGAGGTTCATGTAGGGGTAGACGTCGAACCCAGGACCGCCTACGTGTTTAGCCAGACGGTCCAGCAGGATTGCGGAATTTGCGTTGAATATATGCACGAACTTGTCCAGGATCTTGACGTGGAATGCTGGCATGATGATTTTGCGGTGCCTCTTCCACGTCAAACCTACAGAAAAGTTACTCCATCAATAACTGGCTCACTTTATTTCATCCGTCTTGGATTAAAAAAAATTTCAGAGAATTTTGTAATAATGTGTTCTTCTTTCTGATAATAGTCCGCGTTTCACACTCATATAAAATAACTGGTCACATTATTAGACTAGTCACGTATTTTACCTTGATATAAAGTTTTTGGAACGAGCCGAGAACATCCAGCCAGCGATATGACTGGTAATGCTTGGGTGACCTTAGTTCGTGTCCCGGCAGGTCAAGAAACTTTTTCTTCTCTCCTGTTTTGTCCAGACTTCCTGTAGGGTTATTAATACTCGTATCTAATTGGTGCTAGGGTAAATAAACTGGATCTCGAAGATTATCACTCTCCTCCATCTAATGCCGTGGTTATGAATTTACTTCTATTCCGCCATGACGTGGTTCTTGGCTAAACTTACCAGAGTTGGTGAGCATCCCCTTTCCTAGCCACGGCTCCCCGAACTTGTAAAGAATTGCCTTGTCTATAATTTTGTTGCTTCCTAGTATTATCTGCAAACAAAATTTAGAATGATACCACTCGCTTCTTTTAGACAGTACGAGTATTTTATTGTATTAATTTATATTACTTCACTAATATTAAAAACTACCCGCATTACTCCATGGCCTTAATGTAATTTCTGAACGGGAATTGGCCTGCGAGGAAAAAAGCCTAAATAAAATTCGTAGGTATCTAAAAACTACAAATATACGAGGTGCGATCGGAAAGTTTCAAGACTGCGCGTATAGAAACCCGTACACTTATCTCAGGTATTAAATTCATCCATCACCCTCGAAGTAGTTCCCCTGGGAGTGAACACAACGATCCCAGCGCCGCTGCCAAGCCTGGAAGCATCCCTGGAAAGCTTTCTTTGTCAGCCTGTCAAGCACCATCTGCGATTCTGCCTGAATCTCTTCTATCGCCTCAAATCTCCTTCCCTTTAGCTGAATTTTCATCTTGGGGAAGAGG